AGCACCTACCTCACTGCCTAGCAATTAGTGATTTCTCTACAGAAGTGTGTTAGATGAGTGAATTAATAAGTTAATATGTGAGAGCCTATAGATTGTTGCTGAGTTTTAGAGGGAAGTTGTTTGTTCAATCCAGGTTCCTCACAATTCTTCTAATCTCTCATGAATGAAGGCAATATTGAATGCCTTTGGGGTTGAACCAAATTTCTAGGCCCAACCTACATTAGTGATCAAAAGAGGCTATAAAGACATAAATACTTACTACATCCATGCAAAAGCTCATGTATAAATGCCAAAAGCATTGGGGGAAATAGTGAGGGATGATATAAATGGTAAGGTCTAAAGCTCCATAAAATTACTTCTTTAAAAATATATCTTTCATTCATGAAAATGTTTACTATTGCCCACCCTGTGCCAGGATCTGGGCTGGGTGCCAAGGACACAGATGAGTAATGCCTGCTGTCATGGAACCAACAGTTTAGTGGAAGAACTGACGCTATAGAAGACAAGTCCAAAAAATCTGCCCAGAGAGTCAGCCTGGGGTACTCAGCAATCTCCTGAAGATACTTGCCTTATGTTCAGACTCCAGTGAAGTCATCACCACCTAAACCCTTCCTTCTCCATTAAATAACCTTTCTACCAAATGCATTTCTACATATTAGAAATAAACTATTAAAAATTTGAATTTAAAGATGCAAAAATAGCATAAAAATTTAATTTCTGTTCTTTCAAGTATAGCCATTATGAAAAAGAAAATGGAGGTTACTAAAAAATTAAGGATAAATCTGACAAAAGCCATGTAAGACCCATACATGGACAACTATAAGTCATCAGAGAGAAAGGCAGGTGTGGTGGCACATGCCTGTAATCCCAGCAGCTCTGGAGGCTGAGACAGGAGGATCACAAGTTTAAAGCCAGCCTTAGCTACTTAGTGGGTTCCTAAGGAACTCAGCAAGACACTGTCTCTAAATAAAATATAAAAAGGGCTTGGGGGAACTGGGGCTGTGGCTCAGTGGGAGAGTGCTCTCCTAGCATATGTGAGGCCCTGAGTTCGATCCTCAGCACCACATGTAAATAAATAAAATAAAGGTATTGTGTCCACCTACAACTAAAAAACAAATTTTAAAAGGGGGGGGGGAGGCTGGGGGATGTGGCTCAGTGGTTAAGTGCCACTGGGTTTAATCCCTACCAAAAAAAAAAAAAAAAATCAGTGAGAGGAATCAAAGGAAATCTGAATGAAAGGAAATATATGGTGTGTTCATGAATCAAAAGATTTAGTATTGATGGAAATTCCCTTTAATTGACCTAGAGATTAAATATAACTCTAATCAAATCTGCATACCTTATTTGTAGAAATAATTAAGCTGATTCTTAAATTAAAAGGACTTTAGAATAAAAAAAAAAACTTTGAAGAACAAAACTGAAAAACTCATACTATCTTGACTTACTATAAAGTTAGTAACCAAGGCAACATGGTATTGGTATAAAGACAGACAAATTGAAAAATGGAACAGTACAGAATCCAGAAATAGACTAACACATATATTATTATTATGTGTTAATTAATTATTTACAACAAAAGTGAAGTACTTTGATGGAAGAAGAATCTTTCCCATAAATGGTATGAAACAACTGTATATTAACATGCAAAATAAATCAAACTTGATTCTTAACTCTCATACCATATTTTAAAAAAACCAACTACTCAAAATGGACTATAGACGGAAATGTAAAATCTAAAACTTTGAAACTTCAAGAAGAAAATACAGGAGAAAATCTTTGTGATGTTAGGCGAGACAAAGATTTTTTTTAAAGATAGAATACAAAACAAACTATAACAACAAAACTGAAAAAAAATAATAATTTCTGTACTTTGGTATAGCCATTATGAAAAAGAAAATGGAGATTACTCAAAAAATTAAAAGTAGGACTATTATACAATCCAGCAACCCCATTACTGAGGATATATCTGAAATCAGTATGCGCAAATATACTCTGCACTCCTGTATTCACTGCAAATTATTCACAATAGCTAAAAGATAGAGTCATCCTTTGTCCATCAATGGACAAGGAGATAAGAAAAATGTGGTGTGTATGCACAGTGGAATATCACTCCAGCTTTAAAAAGAAGTACACCTTATTATTTACAGCATAGTTGGATCTGAAGGACATAAGTGAAAGAAGCCAGGCCAGAACAATATATATTGCATGATCTCTCATAGATGCATAAGCTTGAAAAAGCAAACTTCCAGAGGCAGAGTAGAATGGTGGTTCCTAAGAGATGAGGGGAAGGAGCAGGGTTGGAAAGCTATTGATCAAAGGATACAAAATTTTGTTTAGACAGGAGGAATAAGCTCAAGAGCTCTGTTGTACAATATGGTAACTATAGTTAGTTGTATTGTTATAGTGTTGCAAATCAATAAAAGAGTAAATTTTAAATGTTCTCACTCTAAAAAATGATAAGTATGTGAGGTAATGCATAGGTTAGCTAGCTTAATTTAGCTATTCAACAATGTACACATATTTCAAATCATCCTGTTGTACATGACAAATACATATAATCTTTCCCTATTAATTTAAATTATCAAAAAGAATTTAAATCTGCTCTTCCAAAGATACTGTTAAGAAAATGAAAAGATAAGGCAGATTGGGAGAAAATGCTACAAAGTTAAGAAGTAACCTGTAAACTAAGAAGAAAATACTTGAAGTACATACATACAGAGGCCTCATCTCTTTAATGTAGAAAGGGCCCTTTAAAACTATTAATAAAAAACACAATGCAACAGAAAAATGGGCAAGGACACGAAAAGAGATTCCCCCCAACAGAAATACAAAGGACAATAGTCATATGAAACTGAGATTAATCTCACAATTAAAGCAATGCAAACTAAAACAAAATGTCATCTTATAAAGAATATTTGGCACAGAAATGTTCATAATATAAAAAATGGAAAATACTGCAAAGTCCACCAAGAGAGGACAATTAAATACATAGGTACAGAAAACACAAATACTATGTACCCATTACAATTTAAATGCTGGTTTCACCCATGTTGATATCACATTAAAAGTAATCTATGGCATATAGTTGAGTGGGGGAAAACATTTCAATCTGTATAACAAGAGCGTTAATCTGAAAGTATACATTTTCATCTATTTGTGAGTAAGTGTACAGAGATAAATGTTGGAAAGATAACTCACCAAAATAGTAGCAGTGATTGTCCCTGGGAGAGAGTTCAGGTGACCTTAATTTTATTTTTACATTGTAGCATCCTTTAAATAAACTACAATGAGCACAAACTTCTATTGTTAAAGAAAGCTAAATTACTTTTATTTAAAAAAAAATATAAGATGTTTCAATGCAAAATTTCAACAACAAAATTAAAAAGGGCATCAAGTTGCAGCCAGACAAATGGCCAGACAGGCCAAGGCCCTCTCCTTGAGGCTGCACCTTCCTCTGACCAGCATTGGACACATGGGAAGACAACTAAGTGTACACTATCAGATACACAGGCAAAGCTAGGTACAGAAGGACAGAGTTCACAGAGGGTTTGGAGGGTGAGGGTTACTCAGTGAAAACATAGGTTCTACCACATTAACAGTGGTGATGTCAGGACAAATCACCTCAATTTCCTTCTTTGTAGACCTGGGTAATAACTTGTCTCTACCTCTTGGGGTGTGAAGTTTAAATGAGATACACATGTGAGCTGGGCATGGTGATGTACACTGTAATGCCAGCAACTTGGGGTGAGGGGGGATGACAAGGGGGGGTGGGGGGTAGAGGGGTGAGGCAGGAGGATTGCAGCCTAGGCAACTTAGCAATACCCTGACTCAAAGTAAAATAAAAATTTTAGAAGGGGCTGGGGATGTAGCTCAGTGGTAGAGTGTTTCCTCAGTGTGTGCAAGGGCCTGGTTTCAATCCCCAGTATCATGAAAATAAAAAGCTATGTATGTGACACCCTCACTTAGGGCTTAGCCCATAACGTGCACTTAAGATCAGCTGTTTATATTATTATCTGGGACATTTGTGATAGTTGTTCACATTGCCACCACTCTATTCCCCATGATCCAGGGTCATGGAACAGAGTGTAAAGAAGGAACTTCAAACCTCAGAGAATCCCAACATCAAGTTTTGGACAACAAAACCTATTGTTCTCTATCCCTATGGAACTTTCTTAGAAGCAGCAGGCAAAGAGGATGGCAGCCAGCTAGAGAGGGGAGGTTGACAACAAAGCAAGGGCCTAAATAATTTCCTGTGCTACCCACTGTGTCATTCTCTCCTCCCAACTTCCCTCCCATGTTGCCTGGGACCTTCCCCCAGACAACACTATGTCAGGATCCCAGAAAGACTGATCAATTGCTATATCCCTTTCTCTGCAAATAAGGGACCTGAGGGCCAGAGGCAAGAACCCTACCGAGAACCAAGCAGTCAGCAAGCCTCTCAACCAGAGGGTCCCCTCCTGTGCTCGTCCTTCCCTCTGCTGGCTGCTTCTTCACAAGTTCTCATTTCCCCTACTTCCTCCCCCTACTTCATTACCTGTTGGGATTCTTCAAGGCCCCTTCTCTTCTCTGGCAGCCCTAATGGTTCTTTATGTCCCTCCCTGTGGTGAGAGAGGAACCGAACTGGGACTTTTTTTTTTTTTTTTACACTATAAGAATGTTTATGGCTGTCACTAAGCGAAGACCAACAGAGCCATCCCTCTTTTAATAGGAAGGAAGCACAAACTGTGGCATGAAATGAGAAGGTGGGGCAGGATGGAAGAGTTATGAGTTATTCTCACCCCCAATGACACTGGAGTTTTCCTTGAAACTCCTAGGAAAGGAATACCCCAGAAGAGAGGAGTACTAGCCAAAGGAACCAGCAGATTCTGTGTCCTAGGTCTTAAATGCAACCAAGATGTAGGTAGGGTAGGCAGGAGTGAGGAAGGATGTGGAGTGTGAATGGAAAAGCATTTTTCTAGGATGTGGTCCTGACTCTGGGCAGTGGCCAGGCTGGGGCTTACCTTAGGCAGGCTTACTGGAGTCCTGGGCTTGGTTCTAGGGTTCTTAATCAAGAGTCTCTGATCCAGGGGGAGCAGATGGTATTTCATGGCCTCGATGAGGAAGTCCTTACAGGTGTTGTTATTCTTTATCAAAGCCTCTTCTTCAACTGTCTGGAGGTAACAACCCACAGGTAACACTGGAACAGAGCCTGGCCCCATTTCTTAAGCCCTGTCTCTGGGGTGGGTCATTCCTGCATTCTCTCATTCATTTCTGTATCATCTCATCTCACACCCAAAGAGAAAGATCCACAGAGTTATAACTTAGTGCTCACCTCCTGGATTTTAAGAGCACAGGATTAAGTAATCAAGCTCTGGCCTAAGACAGGGATGCAAATCCCAGCTGCACCATTCATCTCTGATCCTCAGTTTTCTCGTCTGTAAAACAGGTGTATTAAAAGCACCTAGAACCCCATTAGTTTTGTTTGCTTGTACGCTGAGGTTTAGATGAATTCATGCAAAATAAAAAATAAGGAGTTGCCTGAAAATCTCTTCCCACATTCCTCTTGGTTTGAATGCTTTATAATGTGTAGGGCAAATGGTCAGAGATCTGACAGAAGAGGGAGGGAGGGAGGGAAAGAAGAAAGAAGACAGGATCCAAGGGACAAACTTTGAAGGCACTGGTAAAATAAGATGGTCAAGATGGTCTTATAGCAAAAGTTTCAGGGAGAAAACTGGCCAGTGAGGCTCTAACTGAGTACTGACACTAGAGAAGAAAGAATGTCCTATACAAAATCCCATCTACTGACCTCATCTGATACCCCATCTACACTGGGATCTCGCTTCTCTACCTGGTATTCAGACCTCAGGACCTAAGCAGGACTTCAGCAAATGCAAGCCTACATGCTCCATAAGCAGGCAAGGGTGCATTCTGGTACTCTGGCTCTTAAATAGCATCTCTTCAGCCCAGTTCATATCACTATGTGACATATCTGGAATGAACAGCAGGGTCTTCTGAGGCCACTTGATGGTGGGAAACATCAATTCCATTCAACAGCTAACACTGATTGGATGTCTCCTGGTTGGGCAGCCCTGTGCTGGCCCCCAGGAAGAAAATGATGAATAAGACAAGGTTTCTGACCTGAGGATTGGACCTGATTCAAGTCCAATCACAGAATGAGAAAGGGCTCCCACTTCAATCATCTCAACCCTCCAAACAATCAGTACAAGGCCTGGCTGAGCCTCTCCTGGGACCCCATCTATTGCTAAGAATGAAAATAGGGCCAGGGTCATCATCCACTGGGCAACGCTGGAGCTGGCAGGAAAAAGAAGAATTGGCAAGTCAAAGCCTCTGCCACCTCTGGGCATCTTCTTCCCCAAGAAAACTCCCTACAGCCTTGAAAGATATTTTTTTTAACCTTCCCATTAGGGGCCTAAACCAGGATGGTACAAATCATAAATGTGGGGGGGGTTAAAAAATAAAAGGGGTGGGAGAAAATCTCTAGAAAAGCTAGGGAGAAAGGAAAATTGCTCAAGCAGCTACTTTTCCCAAAGAATTCATTCAGCTTGAACTAAAAGCTCCCCCCTAGAGAGTTCATAGGTACAGAGTTTCAATGTGGGATGATGAAAGTTTTGGAAATGGATATGGTGATGGTTGTGCAGCACTGTGAATATAATAAATGCCCTGTATCATATACTCAAAAACAGTCAAAATCACAAAGTTTGACAGGCATGGTAGAACACGCCTATAATCCCAGTGGCTCGGGAAGCTGAGGTAGGGAGATCAAGAATTCAAAGCCAGCCTCAGCAAGGCCCTAAGCAACTCAGAAAGACCCTGTCTCTAAATAAAATATTAAAAAGGGCTAGGGAGGTATCTCAGTGGTTAAGCACCTCTGGGTTCAATCCCTGGTATCAAAAAAAAAAAAAAAAAATCACAAAGTTTATGTTAAATATGTGTATGTGTTTATTATCAAAACACAGCATGTTATAAATTTAGAATATCTAAAAATGCTTAGTAAAAGCCTAATTAACTTTAGCTATTGTGAGGCGCAGATTCCAGGCAGTGTTGGTTGCAAGAGTTTTCCCTCTCTCCCTTCTTCTTGCATCATGGTCAGCCATCCCCAGCAGGTCTGAAGTTTCAAGGGCAAATGAATGCTGAGGAAACATCCTTTCCCAAAAGTGTTCACCCTGTGAGGCCTAATAAAAGTCCTTTTAGAAAAGGAGTCCCATACAACAGTTCTCACACCCAGTGCCTCTGACCTCCTCCTTTTCCAGGTCCAGACTGTATTTTGCCATAATAATCCAGGAACTATCTCCTAATATCTTTGTTAGTCGTGGACACTTAATGGAGGTCTCTAAGTCCCCTTTACCTTTCACTGGAACCCAGGTCCCTGGCTGCCCACCCTGCCTTCAGACAGTTTCCCACAGGACAGTGGGAAAACCTACTGTGTCAATGAGAGGCAAGTTCAGTCCCTCTGCTTCCCTTTCCTACAGCAGGGATACCATGCCACCAGGTGGCACTAGTATCCTCCAAGGTAGCATGCAGGGTCCTTATAAAGGCTTCAAGGGTGTCCCTCAGTGCTGCAAAGAAGGCTGAGGTGTACAGATTCAGAGGACATTGTACTGACCCCTTAGGCCTATGGCCAGCAGCGTCAGGAGCAGAGGACTTTACAAGTGCTCACAAGAACAGCATGGTACTCATAGTCCCAAGGACAGCGGTAATATTAACTAGTATTCACTGATCACTGTGTGACAGGCTTTATGTGGACCATCTCATTTTGCTCCAAACAATCCTACCAGGGCAAGTGCTATATTGACCAGATGAGAAAACTGAGGTTTCAAGGGGTTAAGTATGGCACAGGATAACAGGAGCTGGCTGTCAGACTGCTAAGCCTCCTCATTAATTCTTGCATCATACCTTTCCTTCCTTCCAGAGACCCTCCAGGACAGCTGAGGGGTGGCCTACTTCCTCAATGTTTAGTTTGGTTCACATATTTTAAGCTTTGACTCCCTGCTTGTAAGAGTATCTAATGCCACTTACTACTGTTCAAAATGAGCCATGTAATGGGGAAATGGAATAAAGAGCAACAAAGGTGGCAGCTGGCAGAACCATGTGCCTCAGGGTCTGGCTGCTGTGGATTTGAATCCTGACTCTCCCCAGGTGGTTGGTGACCCCTGAGGGCAACCCAATCCACAGCCTCAAGGGCCAAAGTGGTAAATAGAGTGTTATAATATTTGCCTCACAGGCTGATTACAAGGTTTAAGTAAGGATATAGGTGGCACTAGAGGGACATCCCATAATTTTAAAATTTTCTTTCCTTTCTTGGAAGAAGTAGAGGTAGTCTGTGTTCTAGGCACCTGTGAAAAGCTGATTTTCACAGTCCTGAGTTGGGCTCCAACTTGTTTAGAGCAGAAGGGTAACATAGAAATATTATGAAAATGACTCTTCTGGCTTTAGGCATCTATGGGGAAAGCAGCTAATTTTATAGAACACTTGTTAAGCCAGGCTTCAGGCTTACATACCGACAACTTGTTTCTGGAAGGAGATACTGAGGCTTGAATAAAAACTCAAAACTAGTAAGTAGTGGAGCATGGACTGAAACCTACACAGCTTATCCTCAAACCTATGCTTTTAAGCTCTACTTCAAACTTAACTCAGTTGGTTGGTGCCCCCAACACACACAGAAGATCTATTGATCTCAACTATGCCGTGCAACCAGAGTGGCCTCTGCTGTCCCTTGAGGCTTCGGTGGACAGGCCAGCACGCACCTGCACTAGATAATCCCTGGGCAAGAGAGGGAGTCGGACGTGTTCCATCAGTTTTGCCATATGCTCTAAACGGGTCTCTTTCTCATAATTGATCCAGGAAATCACAGCTTCAAACACCTATAAAGAAAAGAAGGAACACTTTCAAATAACTTGCTCAATCTATAAAAAGAAAAAAGTTATAATTCATCTGCAAAAGTGTTTAACATAAGATTCAACGTTTAAAATAAAACAAAAGCTTTTTTATTATATGTTCTCAAGAGTGAATACGCACATATATGCCTACAATAAACCTGCTCTCCCCAATGTAGAATCATCGTGGTTCATTCTAAAATAAAAATCAGTTCCAATAGTTATTTAAGGGTAGAAATATAGAGCAATAACTGTGAACCAAATGTTTAAAGGTGGCTGCAGAGGACCAGATGTCCTGGGGGCAATGCCACACTCCTCCAGCATTGCTCTCCTCTCTAATCTCCCCTGCACATTCAGTGCAAAATGAAAATCGTAAGAAGGCCTTCTGCCTGCAGCTGGCTGTGATGATGACTGTGACACCGAATACAGAGAAGGGCAGACATTTCTCCTTGGATTTAACTTCTCTCTTGAGGAGAGATTTCATTTCTATGTAAATCAAAACTGGAGGGCTTGGAACCAAAAAGAGGATAGGTGGTTTGGATGTTTATTTTGCTCAAAGCTAAGTCTAAATTCAAACTCTGCACCACCATGCACAGACAGGAAAAAAAAAAAAAAAACAGTGTTGGTGAGGCTGTGGGGAAACCAGTAATGTCAGTGGAAATTTACTAGATAAATATGGCTTTTTAAGAGAAGAGGGCAGAATTTGGCAATATCAATCAAAAGTGTAAATGTGCATATTGTGACCTAGAAAGGCCACTTCTAGAGCCCTAGACTACAAAAACACTCATAGAAGAGCACAAGAACAAGTGTCCAAGATGTTTGCTGCAGCACTTTCATAAAAGGACAAAAAAGGAACAACCTAAAGTTCACTAACAAAGAAGTTATTAAAATATCATCTCTATTATTGGTTTCAGCTTTCAAAAAGAATAAAATAAGACGCCTTCTTGTACATGAAAACAAGAAAGTGCTCTCAGAAACTGTGGTATACACACTGGAATATTTCTCAGCATTAGAAGAAAATAAAATTATGGCATTTGCAGGTAAATGGATGGAGTTGGAGAATATCATGCTAAGCCAATCCCCAAAAAACAAAGGCCAAATGTTCTCTCTGATAATGGTGGAAAGTGGGCGGGGTGGGGGGGGGCACATGTTGGAAGAATGGAGGAACTCTGGGAAGAGGGGAGGGGGTATGGGAGAAGGAAAGATGGTGGAATGAGATGAACATTACCCTAAGTACATGAATGACCGCACATATGATGCGACTCTACATTGTGTACAATCAGAGAAATGAAAAGTTGTGCTCTCTTTGTGTACAATGAATCAAAAAATGCATCTGTCTTGTATAACTAATTAGAACAAATTTAAAAAGGGGAAAAAAGTGCTCTCAGATTAAAGAGGACATGCCAAAAGGTCACAGAAATAAATGGATGGGACCTTCACTGCCAACACTTGGAACAACTCAAACATCAAAGAGAATAATGAAAAAATGAGATCAGGGCTGTTCTGGTGGGGTGAGATTTCAGGAAATGACTAGGGAAGAGGCCAAAGATTTTTGGAGGTAATGGATATGTATCTTTATAGGGTAGACACTATATGTCATACACATTTGTCAAAACTAATCAGATTGTACCTTAATATCTGTACATTTCACTGTGTGCAAACCATACCTCAACAGAATCTTAATTTTAAAAATATAGTAATGGATTACAATACAATAAATTTTATAAAGAAACCATTAATTCCTAGGATAATTTGAAAAGTATCAGAAGGGCTCTTCTTTAGAAAAGTGGTAAATGAGAAGGAATGACAAAATTAGAAAAACAGTATTTTGCAAAAACCACCAATGTGATAACTGATTCAGCAAGGATCACCAATGAAAGCTAGAATCAAAAGTTTTTGTGAAACAAGAAATTCACAAATTATCATCCCAAAGATTTATTTACACATCGGGGGAAAGATACCCTCAAACAGGAGAACAGACGAATATCACCTTAAACAAGGGATCAAACTTACCACCAATAATAGGACAAACTTACATTCCTGATTGTGATTTAATGAAGAGGACACAGTACCCCCAATGTGTATTTTTATGATAATGTTTAACCTGAATGTTATAGTACAGAGACAATCAGACAAATCAGTTTGGAGCCTCTACAAGATGGTTGGGCTGAATTCTTCAAAATGTAATATAATGAAAAACGAAAAAGAATCAAGGGGATGGTTATAGATTAATGAGATTTTGAGACATGATAACTAACTACCATACACAAACCTTTGGATTATGGATTAAAAAGAAATAGGGGGACCATTAGGAAAATCTGAATACTGATTATTTGGTAGACAACACTTATGTTATCAATGTTAAATTTCTTTGGCATAAAAATGATTTTATGGTTAGAAAATAACGTCTGGGAGGTGCATACTAAAATATTTAGGAGTGAAGTATCATGTATCTACAATTTACTGATAAACGGTTCATCAAAATGAGACATCAAGTCTGTAGAGAGAAAAATAAAGCAAAATATTAACTAGTGAATCTCAGTAAAAAGTATGTAGATGTTCATTCTTCAAACTTTACAATATGTTCGATGTTCTCAAAATAAAAAGTGAAGAAAAAAAGATAAATTATAAGGGAAAATGATAGATGGGGCAATAAAATTTACAACCTGACATAAAGTTGAAATAAAAGCTTATCTACTAAGAGAAAAAAAATTCCAATTTCTCTTAACTTATTTTTTCTTTATGTTTGCTACGTTAATAATGCTTTGTACCTAAAATTCTTAGTTCTATTTCCTAGATACATCTTAAGTCTGAACAGGCATAACTTTTTTTATTTATTTATTTTTTTTGAGAGAGAGAGAGAGAATTTTTTAATATTTATTTTTTAGTTTTCGGAGGACACAACATCTTTGTTTGTATGTGGTGCTGAGGATCGAACCCGGGCCGCACGCATGCCAGGCGAGCGCGCTACCACTTGAGCCACATCCCCAGCCCAGGCATAACTTTAATTGGGCAAGGAATCATAAAGTTGTCAGAAAGGTAAAGAAGGGAACAGAGACAAATGGTAAGGAGAGGTTGATCAGTTGATATGAAGTTAGATTGGAGTAAGAAACTCTGGTGTAGCAAGCACTGTACAGTAGGGTGACTATCGATAATGGACTATACATTTCAAAAAGCTAGAGAACAGGGCTGGGGATGTGACTCAAGTGGTATCGCACTCACCTGTCATGTGTGAGGCACTGGGTTCAATCCTCAGCACCACATAAAAATAAATAAGTGAAATAAAGGTATTGTGTTCAACTACAACTAAAAAAATAGATTATTTTTTTTAAAAAGCTAGAGAACAGGATTTTGAATCATAAAGAATCATAAAATTTTGAATCATAACGAAAAGATACTTTGAGGAGACACTGAAGTTTACCCTGACTTAAACATTATACAATGTATACATGTTTCAAAACATCACATGGTGTGCCATAAATAATTTTTTTGTTGTTTTTATGGAACACAGCAAAAGGAAAGGAGCAATGTGTGTACATGTGTGTGTCTGTCTATGTAGTTGGCTCACATTTCTGAATAAAATAACCTATATCCTGATATAAGCCTATAAACACCATGGAAATCCTCCTTGCCTAGAACATTTCAAAAATACAAACTTTCCTACAATTATGGTCCTTACCCTCACAGCATTGTTTTGTCAATGTGTTTTCCCCACCAGCCCTTTATTAAAAGATCCATGAGAACAGGGACCTTGTCCTATTTGCTGGCACATAATATATATTCAAATACTATTTTAATGAATGAATGGACACATAAGTTCTTAATAAGTCGTAGGGAGTAGGGTGGGACCTGCCCAGGCTACAGCAGAGAGCATGACTGGGAACGCGGGGCTGGAACCTTGGCGAGGAGGGCAGAGCTGGAGGCTGATGGAGAAGCTGGCCTTGCTGAAAGAGGAGATGGGCGGCCACATTAATATTCTGCCTTGCATGTGGTTATCCACACTTCTTCCTACTCCCCTCCACCAGACCAAGAGCTTTTGCAGGAGGAGAAGGGTATTTGCTCTGTCTCTGGGCCTCCTTCCCACACACTGCCAAGTAAAGCTCCAAGTGGCTGGCTGACAAAGCTTTGCTGAACAATGAAGTACAAGTCCTTGAGTAGTAGGGTTGATTTATTGATCACATTCTTCCCCCATCGACCAGCCTAATCATTGCTATAAAAGCTAAAAAGCAAGCTGAGTCTACCAAAGTCGATATTTAACCTTATCTCCATTTTTGGCTTGACTAGTCTAACAGGTTCCGCTTAGTTGCACTGTTTACCTACTCAGCCATGAAAAGCCACAGCGGTCAGCAATAGCAGTGACCTTCTAGCAGCTAGAGAAGGCCACATATGTATATATATTTTTTTCATTTAGATTTCATGTTTGAAAAAGAAACAAGCAAATAAACATTTAAATAGCTTGCCTTCAAAGTATCCAATGTCATTCCCAATAGCCCTTCCCATAAAGGACTCTTTGTAGACATTATCTTCCTGAATTCTCATGATAATCCAATGATTAGTTTCTCTTACCCTTTATAAAGTGATTTGCCCAAGTCCCAGAGCTAGAAAAGAGGCAGAACAAACCTAGCTCTAATGCTCATACTCTTAGCTGCCTCTCAAATGCCTACTAGCCTTGACATATTACAGCCCAGGAGCCAAATCCTGCACCTGCTTTGGTAAATAAAATTATACTGGAACATGGCCATACTCATGTGTTTACAGACCATCTGGGCTGCTTTCTTGCTACAACAGCAGAGCCGAGAATCTATTAACCCACAAAACTAAAATATTCACTATCTGGACCTTTGTTGGAAAAATTTGTTAACTCCTGCTCTAAAATCTAAGCAGGGCAGGATGATGTTCTCTCAAATGATAATACCTTTCGTGGATCCCATGAGAAAATAATCAGCTACCCACAAGACAGGCTTGGGGTTTCACTTTCAAACAAAGAA